GATAGCCCAGGAAACATCAACCTGCACAAATCATTTTCAACCTAACAGGTAGATTTCTATCTCCATCCTAAGGGCTAACCAAACAAAGACTCTCAGACCAGCATTCCTGGCAACAAGTAATTCTGCCAGGGAGTTACTTACCACTGAATACCAGAAAATGAAGAGATAACATTTAAACTGCCAACATAAGCCATCAACGTTATTTTCAGGCTGGGTTGCAAGCCAAGCCTCTCACTCACATGGGGCCTAGAACAGCTTTTACATAAAAGAGTTTATTAAGACAAGCTGAGTTGATGAATAACTGAGAAAAAAACAGCTTAAAAGATACCCAAACCAGTCAGCTTTTACTCTGTTCTTCTATGTTCTAGAAATCTTGATCTTCTTGCTATACCACAAAAGGAAAAAAAAAAAAAGAAAAAGATTTGTCTTAGCCAAATGACATTTATCTCTGCCATTCTATTTAATCTCAAAATCAAATTCAAATAACAGGTATCTATTGAAAGTGTAACAGTGAAAAACCAGATGGATGATAAGCCAAGGCCTAAAGATGGGGTGCCATGACCAGCAGCACTCCCTTAGAGACCCCCCGAGGGAGCCCTCGGGTCACAGGTGCACACTCTCACAACAAATCTTATTCCAGAACACGTGGAGGCTCAGCACAGACACCGTGAGCCTCACAGTGCTCTTGTTTGGGGCTCAAAGAAGTCTATTTCCACACCTGCTGTCCTACATCCTAAAAACAAAGGGATCTCATCTAGAGGCCATGAAATTGTGGCTGTGCCACTGCCAAACTCCCAACTGGCACCACAGAGGACTCGAGTGTGTGCAGAGGACTTGAGCGCAGAAGCACTCAGGAAAGAGAAAAACTAACTTAACAAGTCTTTCTGTCACACGGCATGACCGCAGTGATTCTTGCATAATGAAGTTTCATTTTCAAGTAGAGATGAGTACTCCTTTTCTTGCTTTTCTTCCTGTTCTACTTCATGGTTCTGATGGCACTCACCAATTAGCATGGTAATCACAGCCATTGCACATGGAGAGAAACATTTGGCAGCATAAGAAAATTCACATTTATTTATTTTTTAATCCTCACCCGAGGATATTTCTAGAAAGAGTAGGACAGAGAGGGAAAGACAGCGAGAAATACTGATGTGAGAGTGACACATCGATTAGGTGCCTCTTGCATGCACCCCGACCAGAGCCTGGCTGGGGAGGGAGCCTGCAACCGAGGGACGTGCCCTTGACCGGAATCGAACCCGGGACCTTTCAGTCCGCAGGCCGACACGCTATCCACTGAGCAAGCTGGCTGGGGCCCAACCCCTCTTTTAAAAAAAAGACAGATACAATGTTCATCGACCTGTTTCTTCAAAATACTTAGTGGCTTCCC